TTGGACATTTGTTTTTATTAATGTTATTTAATATTATTAATGTCTACCACATTATGCATGTTAAAGTAACCCAACACACACTGTATGTGGAAGGTGTACCAAGTTTGTAGATCATTCAAATTTCAGAAGGGGAGCAGGGGCAAAGTTTTGAAGCCCCATTATCTTGTGGGTAGTGAGCAACAGACTAGAAACTAAGCTACCCAGAAAAAAAAAACGAAGTGAAGGGTTTAAAAGCAAGGCACACGCCGACCCAAAATCTAGGACTTCTTTTGGCCATACAGACTTAACAAGTACATGCACAGTGTATGCCCACGCTATTGCACACAAGATATACCCGCACTGTGTCCTTTCTACTTGTCCAAACAAAAATAAACTACGCGCAGACAACTTGAGATAAGACACACACAAATAATTGATTTTGAATCTTAAAAAAAAAGTAATCTTGGAGATGCATCATTTTGAGTCAATCATTGAATGTGTATTTCAGATCATTTCTGGTTCATTCCTTCACTAAAATATATTTCAAAATGTAGTACAGAGTTCTTCTTTTTATTTTCTTTTGTATGCAGCACTCTATACTTTGTAGGGGTTTTCTTAGAATAAATTGTAAATGTTCACCCCTAAGATTTTCCTCATCCCTTAGCCTGTGTTTATAGCTCCATGGCCTAAACATGTTTCCATTGTTTTGTCTCTGTACAATGTACATGTAGCATTTCTTTAAGTTTAAGCTTCTACACAACAGTGCAACTAGCAATTTGAGGGGGAAATTACCAGATTGTACTCATGAATTGGAGAATTGTCTAATTGTCTCATGTAAGAAGCATTTTGGGGACAATTTTGATAAATATAATTATTTTGATTGGATTTCTCTGAAACCTTCTTGTGACCTGGATGTCCGGGGATGGTGTAATTCATGTCAATGTACAGTGCTGTGTGTCATTTCCAGGTAACGTTTCTTCCCCTATCCCCTGAATGTTGCTCCGTTGGCAAAGCCACATGCACATCCTGTATAATCATCAGTTTCCTGGACAATGCTGGACGTGAAGACATACAAGTAGATACGTGTGTACTGGTTTTCCTAGAATATTCCATGTCACAGTGAATTCCACATGTAAGTTGTCAGAAGCCCCAACTGTGGGGCGCTGCGGTCCAACGGTTACGGTGTTCGACTCCTGTGCCGTGGTACAGGGGTTCGAACCCCGACGGGGAACATGGTGCTTGTGCTCTTGGGCAAGGCACTTTACTACGATTGCCTCTCTCCACCCAGGAGTATAAATTGGTACCTGTAAAGGTAGAGACCAAACTGCGCCGATCTCGAGCTGCTAAAGAAAAAAATGGTCTCATTTCTGATGAACAGGGATTATACATGTAATTGTGATGCGCATTAGATCATATTCATATGGAATTTGCACAATATTAATGTGTAAATTATTAGTATTATTATTATTAAAGGCAAATCTTTTTTTAATAATTTGGGGGAATTTACAAAATGTGACCCCATCTTCACTTTTAGACAATAACATATGGTCAACAAAAAAGGAGCCCAAAACTGACACCATCTTCATCAAACTTTCCATTTTGCTTTGCATCATTAAGTTTACCAGTTGATAATTGTACAGCAAGTTGATAATAAGCAGGACAAGTTCTTCTCAGAACTAATATCTTCTAAGCAGTAGTTATTACCACATGGTGTTACCGCAAAACCGAAACGATACCGATACCCCACCATGCAAAGCCTCAAATCTTATATAAGTTTACCAGTGCTTACTGTGCTTTGTTGCAGTCATGATCAAGGTCGTTGTCTTGCAAAATACAGCCAACGTGGTTGAAAAATGTGTAACTGATGGAAATTTGATGAGAATCTGTGTCATTCACAGTGATGAACTAATGAGAATACTTCACAGGATACAGGCATCTTAAGATTTCAGAGAGATGGAGGACAGTACATGTCTGAGTGATGAAGTAAAACATGTTCGTGATGTTTCAGCTCCATGCAAACATGCACGTACACACTGTCATGTTATACTTACAATGTAAACCTTGAAGACAAGGCATTGTCTTTCCCTCTGTCTCTATAATACAACACCCTCCCATAGACTAAACTCACGATCGAGGACCGTTTTCAACAAAAGATGAACTCTCGAGGACAACAAAGAATCTGTTGTTCTCCCTTTGTCTGTCTGTCTTTGGGGTGTATGTACATTGTGTAATTCACGAACATGTACGTGTTCTACATCCCCCCCCCCCCCCCGACACACAAAGGAAGAACGTCTTTCAGTCTTTTGTTGAAAACGGTCCTCGATCGTACAGCTATGTGCTTAATCTATGGGAGAGTGTTATTTTACAGGGACAAAGGGAAACACAAAGCATTGTCCTCCAGAGTATAGTAAAACACAACTGTATGAAACAAGTGTAGACACATCTGTACATGTACAATGTACACGTACATGTTGTGCCAAGACCTACCGGTACAGGTTGTTACTTACTACATTTATATCTGATTAAAAGCGCACTTTTAAGGCAAAAAAATCCCAAAAGTGCATTTGATTTTGAAATGGAGGTGTAAAAAGTCATTATACTATGTGCACTGTCAAACTTGAAAGGATTGGGAGTTTTACACTTCCATCACTTGCATTTGTGAACAGAGTGATAAGAGTTTCTCTGACATGTCTGACAAAAGAAAAGATTCTGACTGGACATGTTTTTGTGATCTAAGATTTTTGATGCTTTCACATCATTGCACATCCGGGTTTCTGACTACAGCAGTGCATTAGTCATCCACAGAGAAATTTGGAAGGGCCAAGTACATTACGACTGAAAAAATAACAATCAGAACAATCTTTTGAAGGATGTTCTGGGTGAGTAAACTTGGAGTAATATATACATGTACTGTTTGGAACAAGCTTAACTTCAAATTCTGATTGATATCAGGTTTGGGGTGAAAAAAAAAGAAAGATTTCAATTTGGAACATGCAAACTTTGGCATTAAGTCTTCTCCTTTTTTTATATTTTTTTTTTCAAGATAACATGGAAATCTTTAATGGATGAGTTTGAAAGAAATATCTCAAATCTCTCCAAATCAGGTTCTCAAAATAAAATTCAATATACTACCTTCAAAATTAGAATCTTAATCCATGGAAGCATGCCTGCTTATCTATGACCATGTACATGTACAATGTAAATCCTCAGGAGAATGTAAGATAACGTGTTATTTCAAAATGTCAGATGTCAAAAGTATTGTGCGGTTGGTGTATAAAAAAAAGAGGAAAATTCCCAACGTTCTTGAATTCTTTGTGCATATCCAATGGAAAATTGTCTGCAAAGTTGGCAACGTTTGCCAAAGTGGAAGGAACTGCTAGACATACTGTATTAACATGTTAGAACACAAAAAATGGCAACAAAATTAAAACAAACGACTCATAAAGGTCTGCCAAGGATAAATTATGAAGTGCACAATGTTGCAAAAAAAAACACACATGCAGTTGTACAGAAAAAAAGGTTTAAAAAACATATCATAAATATCAACTGCCATAATTTTTTTAAGGACAGGTAGCAGACTGTGTTTTGAATTTACAAACTGCCCTGGAATCCAGCAAAGTGGAAGTTTTGAATGAAGTAAGGAAATTGCCAAAATGAGGATAACTCACTCATGATGCCTGGCCACCAGAGACCAATCTTCGGAGTCATGCTTTAGCAGTGGATTTTTTGTAATCAGTTAAGTATGTTGCGAGGAACCAAGAAATCGCTGGCGACGTTGTTTTTTTTTCTTTCAGGAAATGGGTGTTTGACCTGAGAAAGTAAGGTATTCCATCATTCATAGCCTACAATCACTGACAATGTAGATGTACATGTATACTGGTGATGCCTGGATGAATCAGATTTTATCAATACTCTGTTATGGGAGAGGGGAGGGGAACACATGTACATGTACGTGGTGAAACCGTTTTAGGTAAACCACATGCAAACCACATGTCGTCTGTATTCAATTCTGGAGGGGGGAGCAATACGTTGAAGTTGTTTATGAAGATGTACATGTATGTATACATCTGTGTCGCAGAACTTTACAACGGAACATGTTGAATTGTCTGTGGAAACAAGAGTACGTGCCAATGGCAAAGACAACATGATAAAAGTTGCCGTCTGTTTTTACAAACTGAACTTAAGAATTTCTGTTTATGGGACTTCTGTGTACATTGTAAATAAGAATCCCCGAAGGAAGGGTCATTGAAGGACATGTTTTACAGGGTCTTACACTAACATGCAATATCCCGATACCAGACTTTTTTTCTGTTGAACTGTTCATAATTTGGTTCAAGTCAGTCAGGTTGAATAGGACTTTACTAGCAATTTTTAAAATCGTTGACATATTAATTAAAAGATAATTTACTTGTAAGTTTAATTTAACTCATGCCAGAACTACGGTACATTGGTTGAGGACGTTTGTCTGAAGCTACTCCTGGCTAGTAAGTAGGGATGCTTTTAATGATGGGCTTTAATTTAAAGGCCCCATGCAATGTAATTTTCTAATGCCATCCTTGAAAATGCAACTTTATGTCCCATTTAACCTACAGGGGGTATATGTAATTTTCATTTTGAAGGGTATTTTGGTGCCTTTCTGTTATTGATGCTAATTCAAATTCGGCACAAAAGGTAACTAGAATTTGGGTATTTTGCTGTTATTAATTTTCTTTTCTTTGATGATTCATTGTCGAGTACATGTACATGTAAGTACATGGCAGAAAGCCAATGAGCAAACCTTTCTCAATGAGCAAATGAATCACTGAATGTTTTCGATGAGCAAATTTTGGGTTCACAATTTGTACAGAAAAACCCCTAAACTGAACAGTGTCTTCCTGAAATGACATCACAGCAACAGCGCCCTCAATTGTCCGGAAAAGCATGGAAAATGTTAAACGTTTCAAGAAGTGCACTTTTCAATAAAATTAACCAAAAAGGGATCCATGTCAAATAGTTTTCATACATTTGAGTAGAAAGTTGCACAAAGTGTGTTAAGAAAAATTCATCGCATAGACCTTTATAGTTTAAGCCTTGCTCATGAACAGTGCAATGTGACGATCCAGTGCTGATGAAATGAACCAAGAAGTCTTGTACACATGATTTAAGAATAATTTGAAGAATTTCAGAAGGTTCATAGTAAAAATCCAAAGCGGGTTAGAATTTGGGTCGCAAATTTACAGCCTACTATGTGTACTGAACATGTCTAGGTACATGTAGCTTTTCCTATCAGTGGTTAGGTTTTACACCAATGATTCTATCATGTCTATTGCATGAGTTTGTGCAAGTTACACCAAACCTACAGCAAATTACGTACTTAATTGATAAACAGCTGTATACGGATTTATATTCTCATGATGAATAAAAATGTAGATTTTCTGCTTTTAAATTATTTAATCTCTTACGTGTTAAACAGTAAAATATATTCCCAGTATTTTTAAATTTGAATATTTTTCTTTCAAATAGATACCTGTTGATTTCAACATTAATACTGGCTTCCTCGCCCAGAGGGGCTTTTGCTATGCAAGCCTCTGGCTATATGCGAGGTGAACTCATACCTATCTTGGCACTGGAAGGCGCAGATGTTACACTGAAGAGGATTGCGGAGGTCGTGGCAGCCCATGTGGATGGCGTACATGATGTTATCTGGGAAGATGATGTGACAGAACTCGCATCTCCAGACGTCATCCTGCGTGCTGTTGTCACGGCAGATGACCGGGGTGGGCTGGCTTCCCCACACACCCGCCATCAGCTCCGAGGACGGCTGAGATTCCAAACTGGAGGATCCAGTATGACTTAGGCACCTTCGTTTGTGGGGCGAGTCGTCCGGCCTCCCGTGCATGCCCCCAATCATCAGCAAGGGCGTGCCTTGGGGGCTCGGGGTACGGCTTGACCGCTGAGGCGACACAGCAGATGCCTTGGGGAGGAGAAAACCTGGAGACTCAAAACTGGACGAACTTTTACCCGACTCATAGGATTCATAGGATTTGGGTGCAGATCCCGAGGTGGACCTGCTCTCTCGTAGAGGGGAGCGCCTAGTTGCAGATTCCTTACCGTTCTGGTGTAGAGAAACTATGTGAGAGATGACTGGGAGGTTAGCTGAACCTCCCCTACCTTGGGGTATACACTGCCTCTGACTTGGACTATTGTCATCCCTGGAAGGGGAGTGTTCATAACTCTCCTCCCTTCGTTGGTGATTAGGCGATACGGTTATTGTTGGAACTTTAACCAAGGATAGTGGCACAGTTCCCGTACAGGGAACCTCTGCTGAGATACTGGGCATGCTTACCAGTCCGGAGGGGGGCATGGATCGCCCCGATTGCACTGATTCAAAGCTAGTTTCTCTCTCCAGGGAAGAAGCGCTTTCCATGGAGCTAGCTGAAGCTGATGATCCACCCATCTGCAGCCGACGCTGGACGTGTATTTGCGGGACGCGCACGGATGCCGTGATCATGTCGCGGTGCCTTTGGCTCTGAAGGTGATTGTTGTAATCCTCTGCACTGACACACTCATAATTGTCGAGTACATGTACATGTAAGTACATGGCAGAAAGCCAATGAGCAAACCTTTCTCAATGAGCAAATGAATCACTGAATGTTTTCGATGAGCAAATTTTGGGTTCACAATTTGTACAGAAAAACCCCTAAACTGAACAGTGTCTTCCTGAAATGACATCACAGCAACAGCGCCCTCAATTGTCCGGAAAAGCATGGAAAATGTTAAACGTTTCAAGAAGTGCACTTTTCAATAAAATTAACCAAAAGGGATCCATGTCAAATAGTTTTCATACATTTGAGTAGAAAGTTGCACAAAGTGTGTTAAGAAAAATTCATCGCATAGACCTTTATAGTTTAAGCCTTGCTCATGAACAGTGCAATGTGACGATCCAGTGCTGATGAAATGAACCAAGAAGTCTTGTACACATGATTTAAGAATAATTTGAAGAATTTCAGAAGGTTCATAGTAAAAATCCAAAGCGGGTTAGAATTTGGGTCGCAAATTTACAGCCTACTATGTGTACTGAACATGTCTAGGTACATGTAGCTTTTCCTATCAGTGGTTAGGTTTTACACCAATGATTCTATCATGTCTATTGCATGAGTTTGTGCAAGTTACACCAAACCTACAGCAAATTACGTACTTAATTGATAAACAGCTGTATACGGATTTATATTCTCATGATGAATAAAAATGTAGATTTTCTGCTTTTAAATTATTTAATCTCTTACGTGTTAAACAGTAAAATATATTCCCAGTATTTTTAAATTTGAATATTTTTCTTTCAAATAGATACCTGTTGATTTCAACATTAATACTGGCTTCCTCGCCCAGAGGGGCTTTTGCTATGCAAGCCTCTGGCTATATGCGAGGTGAACTCATACCTATCTTGGCACTGGAAGGCGCAGATGTTACACTGAAGAGGATTGCGGAGGTCGTGGCAGCCCATGTGGATGGCGTACATGATGTTATCTGGGAAGATGATGTGACAGAACTCGCATCTCCAGACGTCATCCTGCGTGCTGTTGTCACGGCAGATGACCGGGGTGGGCTGGCTTCCCCACACACCCGCCATCAGCTCCGAGGACGGCTGAGATTCCAAACTGGAGGATCCAGTATGACTTAGGCACCTTCGTTTGTGGGGCGAGTCGTCCGGCCTCCCGTGCATGCCCCCAATCATCAGCAAGGGCGTGCCTTGGGGGCTCGGGGTACGGCTTGACCGCTGAGGCGACACAGCAGATGCCTTGGGGAGGAGAAAACCTGGAGACTCAAAACTGGACGAACTTTTACCCGACTCATAGGATTCATAGGATTTGGGTGCAGATCCCGAGGTGGACCTGCTCTCTCGTAGAGGGGAGCGCCTAGTTGCAGATTCCTTACCGTTCTGGTGTAGAGAAACTATGTGAGAGATGACTGGGAGGTTAGCTGAACCTCCCCTACCTTGGGGTATACACTGCCTCTGACTTGGACTATTGTCATCCCTGGAAGGGGAGTGTTCATAACTCTCCTCCCTTCGTTGGTGATTAGGCGATACGGTTATTGTTGGAACTTTAACCAAGGATAGTGGCACAGTTCCCGTACAGGGAACCTCTGCTGAGATACTGGGCATGCTTACCAGTCCGGAGGGGGGCATGGATCGCCCCGATTGCACTGATTCAAAGCTAGTTTCTCTCTCCAGGGAAGAAGCGCTTTCCATGGAGCTAGCTGAAGCTGATGATCCACCCATCTGCAGCCGACGCTGGACGTGTATTTGCGGGACGCGCACGGATGCCGTGATCATGTCGCGGTGCCTTTGGCTCTGAAGGTGATTGTTGTAATCCTCTGCACTGACACACTCATACTTACAGGTTGGACACGTGAAGGAGCTAGGCTCAGTCGTAGGTGGGCAAGACACAGTGGCATGTTTCATCTTCTTGTGGTTTTCATAGGCGAGAAGTGAAGGGAAGCCGTAGTCGCACTGTTCGCAACGGTGGACAGTCTGGTGGCTCTTGAGGTGGGTTAGCACCCTCTTCTGGCTGGGAAATGAGTTACCACAGATCGGGCACTTGTACACATAGTGCTTGCTCTGGCCCGGATCGTGTCGCGTCCTCATGTGAAGCTGCAGGTGGTCCTTGCGTGACGACCGGTACTCACAGAACGGGCACTGGAAAGGACGGTGACCACTGTGCAGGTTCATATGCCGTCGTAGACTCTGCTTTTTGGAGAAGGTGCGCTTGCAAAGACGGCATATAAAATCCCTGAATTCCCTATCCTGGCCTTGTTCCTCGCTGCCGGCAAATTCGGTTTCCGTGCTGCTGGTGAAGCCGTAGCCAGAGCCCGCCGAGTCCTCTCTCTGTACTTGGGAAGCATAGGCCAGGTGACTCTCTGGCTGCATGGGGCTATCGCCCTGTGCCTGTATGTTGAGCGGTCCATCATGACATCCAAGACTGATGTCACCCTGGTCATCACTCATGGTGGGCGATTCGTCTCCGTTGACACCCAACTCATCTTCCCTCTCTGGATCTGAAATTCGTTTTAATAACAATTACATTTCAGCCACAGACGAAATAAAAAAATTGCGTTTCAAAATGATCATTTTCCATTTCAGGAAATAATCAATTCTATTTCAACTGTAAAACTCTGCAATCGTGTGTCATGAAGTAGATTTTCACTGAACAAAGGTTTCTGTCAAATAATTTTTTTCCAGAATTGAAACGAAAAACAGCTCAAAACTGTACATTGATTTGCTTGAAATTGAACCTGTTTATAGACATTATTGAATTATTAGTGTTTTGTTTCTCTTTCTGTGCAAGGTTTTTCCCAAAAGCTGAATATATTTCACAACTACATTCCTTCCGTTAGATGAAAATAGAAAAGAAACATGTATTGTACTTGAAACTCAACTACATGTAGTTTATAAGTTACATATACTCGTACCTACAGGAAAAGAATGATTGTCATTCTCATTGATGTAAATGTTAAAATAATATTTTAGCTGTGTGACAAGAAGTTGTTAAGCACAACACAATACCACCAAGGGAAAAGGTAGGAAGTCTCCAATCTGGTTCGTGGGAAAAAAACCCACCTAATTATTCACATGTCATCAACAGAATGAACTAGACAAGAACAGAACTAAACAACGGGTTTCAGGAAATAGGCCTACATCTCCGTGCCCAGAGGAACTCCCAGGAGGTCACTTTAGAATGACGTCTGAGCAACCAGATAGTATGGTCTGAGAACTTGGGATTGTAATCACAAAGTAGGAAACTGCGTACTTGGATAAAGCGCATGCTGAAAATGTTGGAAAAGTATTTGCTAATTTGCTGAAGGACTCAAACTCTATGACATCTGAGTCCCGTGTGTTTTGTACACGTCGTCAGGCTGGGGCCTTCGGGGTTGGGAACCCAGTTGTTCTCTGTTTTTCAGATTTCTTTGTTACATGCAGAAACAAACTCGCACACACAATAAAAAAATAATAATAGACAAATCAACTTTTTAAAAAATCTTTTATGTCAGTCATCTCCGTATGTATGGGTTTTTTTGTGTATTTAATTATATAATTTTATTAAGGCTAATTATTGTTGTCAATATTTTTAACAGTTGGTTTTACTTGATGTTTTAATTTTAAATTTACACTGTAAATTCGCATGCAATTTTGCCTTTGGGCCACGATTTGTGAATAAATAAACCGATCTATCTATCTATCTATCTATCTATCTATCCTTACTTGAATTTACTGGATAAGCTACATGTAGGTGTTGAGCTTGATTCCTTGTAAATGTTCACGGTACTCTTTTCCGTGTGCTTTACATTACTTAAGGAAAATCACTTAAGTAACAGAAATAAAAGGGGAAACTCCAAACTTCACAGGAAGTTATACAGTGTTTTTCAATTTTTAATGGCGTAAGTGTGAAGTGAAAAACGAGGAAATCAGGTCATCCAAGGAAAGGTGCCTGGAATAGGATTTCAAGTTTATGGCAAAATCTGTTTGAAAGTGGCGTTCCAGACTCACACCGATCCAAACTGTCCAGTCGACTGAAATTGAATTGGGTTTGAGACAGACTTTAAAATATATTCATTCATACCTCAAGACACTTTAGGGGTGTTTCACAAAACACGAGGTATAATTGTTGGACAAAATCGTTGGAAAATTGTGAATTTTTGATTTCTTCTGACTTTTTGACTAAAAGGTACCAGTATTTATAAATAGCGATAAAAATGTGCTTGGCCGGTATTAAAGGGAATGTACATCATTGGCTTTTGCTGTAATTTTCAGAAATGAACTACATGTATTTGAGGGGTTAATATAATAGATCAAATACCATTACACTGACATGTTTGAATTTTTGTGTTTAAAAATGCTGGAAAACTAAAAAAAACAAAAACGTTCAAGAAGTCTGGTTCCCTGACTCCACTAAAGATGAAATGGATCAATGTATTGATGCCGGAAAATTGTAAGGTAAGGGCACCAGTCTAGCTGGCCTGCACCCGTTCATGAACATGTAACCAATAGCAAACAAAATTTGGACTGGAAAAAAAATGGTAAATTTGGAGCAGTAGTTGAAAATAGTTAGGTTTTTCCAAGGGTGGTCGGCCGACCACCGTTGGAAATGTATACAAAAATACCATTTTCTTGAAAATGACTTCACACCAGGTGCCATTATTTTATAGGATGCTTTAGACTGTCATTTACCAACATCCTAGTAAGGTATTAGGTAAAAACTTAGTAGTTTTATTTTCCGATGTTTGCAAATGTTGTATTTTCCCTTTATAACAAGTACATGTACGTATTAAATCCGCCAAGGGGCCTGGTTGCGGATTATGGCCTGAGCCAAATCAGCATCCTGGCCCCTATCCGGTTTTAAACGTACATGTACATATATGTACTTGCTTTAAACTGGCCAAGCACATATTTATTCCCGTAATAATTTCCCTTCCACTAAATTCTGGAGTCATTTTAAACAAAACTGCAACAGTCAACCTTACACGCTCTGTAGTCACTACTAAACTAATCTCCAGAATAATTTGTTTGACCGAGAATCTTGAATACCAGTGTGAAACAAATGTAAGCATTTACCCCTGTCGCTATCTTCAGCATCACTGATGACCGTGGTATCATCTGGAGGGCAGGAGGTGGAGGATGTTGCCTTACCGCTCTCCGAGGAGGACTGTCTGGATGTTCCTTCCCCTGGCTCCTGCTTCACACGGACTGCCGAACACTCTTCAGACGTAGGCACCTCAGCAGCATCTCTTTGCATCTTTCTGTAAAGCAAGAAAGCCACTGTAAAGGCTCTCTGGCAGAAAAAAATATAATCGAGGCACTTGAGATTACCCAACACTTTAAACTGTGAATAAGTAACAATGTAACGTTTCAGTTATTGAACAAATAGTAATTACAAGTACCGCCGCACATCCTGGGAAAATACAGCCTGTTTAAAAAAAAATGGTACAATCGAAAACAATTTTTTTTTTCAAAATTAAATCTCAACATAAGTAAGTCGTTTTGAGCATCACATTAATTAAAGAAAAAAGACCAGGCTTTCCAATACTTTTTGTTTCATCTCATTTACTTTTGTCAATCCAGCGATAACTCCAGTTTACTGCGGAACACAAAAATCAAGTTTGTTTCTTTTGCCAAGTTGCAATCTTTTGTGAGCTTCAAGACAGCATGGCACAGTACTCGAAACAACTCTGCCCATGCATAAAAGAGGCACAAAATCGATTTTGGTGTATCGCACTAAATTGATTATATCTCTGAATTGACGAAAGCAAATAAGATCAAACAAACACTATTGGAAAGCCCAGTATTTGTTCTTTAATATCATGCCAAGTAAGAATGACTTATTTTGAAATTTCATATTTAACCAATTTTTTTTCTGACTGTACCATTTTTTTTTAGACAGGCTGTATACGCAATGCATTTGGCTTTTCATTTTGCATGTGTTTACAATGATTTTTGCACACTTTGTGCAAATAAATTCTACATGTAAATGCACTATGTATAATGGCACATGACATCTACATGTATTTGGGCAAACGACTGTAACACTTTGATGTTCTGTGTTGTAGAGATGGGATATGGGCCCATTGAGCAAGGGGTAATACATTTTACGTGTATTATTAATAATTTCAAACCACATAAAAAAAATTTGCAAAACAGACTATATTTTAAAGCAAAAACAGGGGAAATTGTCCACACGTTTCTTCCATGGGTGGCTGTAGGGCTCAGGATACAGAGGCTGTCTAGTATCTGAGCCCAATTTATGGGGCTAATAATCTCAATCTGTTTTCTGGTAACCTCCTTCTTGGATTAATTTGATTGTGGTCACCTGATGTTTGGCTCGCTTTGGGACAAACACCTTCACTTTATCATGTGTCAGCTACGTTGTTGTATGCGAACATGTGTGCAAATTGTACATGTGCCTGAAGGACGCGCTTGAGAATGTTTGCCCAAAAAGAGCTCCTGTGTTTGCCAAAATGAACCCCAGGTGGTGGTCTCTGTGAGAGGATCCGTGATGGTCAATCTCTAAAAATTCCTGACATGGGATTTAGGGTCCAGGAGTTGCCAGCGCATCTTGTGGCTAATGACCTGTGAACGTGTAAATGGGGTCAACGGAACTTTTTTCATTGCGCGCTCAACATTTTAGCACACGCTTAACAGCCGTAACCAAATCTCCCGTCTAGAGCTGATATGAATGTCTATATCTTTGGGGGTTGCGAATTAATCTTGTGCGAACTCAACCCTCAACTGAAACTGACCCGACACGAAGCCGGCTTTGGGTGGGTTTTTTCCATCATTTCAGTTTGGGTCGGTTTCGGTTTTGCATTTGCGATTTTTGGGTTAGGTCGAGTCGGATCAGTTAAGCCATCTTGTGAAAAACCTGAAATAAACCGAAATAAACCAAAAAAAAAAAACCCGAAACAGTTCAGAAATTCAAGCGGTGCAATATTATTGCAGAGTTACTGTGCCCGGTAGGACCAACGTCACGCAAGGTCTATAACGTGTACATGTAGGCCCACCAGTAGGTCACGTTATGAGTCTCCACCGTACCGTATAGTACGATTCTTTACTGAGAGGCAACAATTTTCACACCAGGCGTTCGTTTTTGGGGGGTCGGTTCAGCTTCGGGATGGTTTTTCTTGGATTTTTGTCGGGTCGGGTCAGATTTGGGAAGTTCGGATCAGCCTTGGTTCCTGTTGTCGCAGGATGACCAACAATGGCGGTATATATCTATAATGTTTCGGGTCAGTATGGCCTGGTCAACCTGACCCGATGCACAACATAATTGCAAATTACGTGGGCATAAGAGTATTGCCATAGTACTGGAAACCTGGGTTTTTTTTCCTGTCCGCCATATTAAAATGAATTGGGATTGATGACTGAACTGTGGCTTTGGAAGCACAGGAAAGCTGTAAATTTTGCAAAAAAAGGTGAACACTTGGGTAAGTAACCCGCATGCCAAATAATAGGCCGAATCATTCTGATTAAAAAAAAACCGAAATTCTTTCAGTAACTTTGTGTACACAAGCAGGTATCACCGAAGCATGGAGAACTTCCATTGAGTGACCATCAACTGAAGCTACATGTATAATTAAATGTACATGTCTTGTTGAGCTCTTCCTAAAGACGACGTCTTTTTAATAGCATACCAAAATTCACTGTTAAAAACAATCTTTTTGAAAATTTTGAAAACAATTGCAACATTCTTACCTGTTTTACTTCAAACAATAAAAAGGCTGAAACAAAAAATGTGTTTATAGTAACCCAACCTACATGTACCCCGGTATAATGTACATGTAGGCCTACATGTACCGGTACATGGATTTCTTTTTGTCATGTTTGCATGGTTTGTGGCCAAATTGCCGATATCCAACCTTTAATTGCCACATTTGGCCAAAAGATTAAAGTCACCGCAATTTTATAATGTGGAAAAAGTGTACGTATTTAAAGTATGTAAACACCGGCAATAGTGGACTATTTAGGCAGTGTTCTCCAACCTTGAAAATTAAAGGTCAGTGCTCTGTCAAAAGCAGAGGTGGGGGGGGGGGGGTGCTATACGCCAGGGGGCGCTATTTGCAGACATACATTTCCTTATAAATGCTAGGGGGCGCTATTTGCAGATGAACATACGTGTAATATGTACCTACGCCGATATCAGCTTTTAGGCCATTTCTAATACTTACCGGTAAGTACAATACTGACTCAGCATCATTTTTGTTTAATACATCAGTGACCAGGGACTCTGAGGCAGTTTTGCCTTGAGACTTTTGAACTGATGTATCTTGCTACACTGGGCAGGCTTGTCATCTTGAAAAGTGTTGCATGTTACTGCTTTTGGCAGAGTTTCTAGCCAAAATATACCCTGGAGGGTAAGGGTGGTCCCACTTGTTTGTCTTTTTTATTATTTTTTAATTTTGCTATAAAGCATGGCGGCAACTTTTGAAACATGGCGGCAACTTTTGAAGCATGGTGGCAACTTTTGAAGCATGGCGGGTGCCTCAGAAAGCATGGCAGGGCACCAGGGTATTTTTACAGGTTGGAGAACACTGAATAGGGGGTCAACGATTGCCAGTGTTTCCAAAAATAGATGTATGTGCGTGTGTTCACGAGTTGCTCATATGCAAAATAGGCTGCTACGGTTGATCACCTGTAAAGCGGACTATCCTCCACAAAGTGGGGACTTGCCCATAAATCGGGTAACATGCCCTCGAAGTGGGGGGTTTCCCAAAAGTCTTCTTAAAGAGAATGCATCAATGAACACAAGAATCGGTGGAAAGAATGCAGTATCCTTATTTCACTTTTTATGCCTCAGCGACAAGATCGATTTGCGTAAACGCGACGTTACAGCTTTGGGGTCATCGCTTCTTTCATTCAAAATGGCTGCCATCAACAGACATTTTGCGTGTGCATATGGGCTCCAGAAAGATGCCTAAGTTTCTCGAAAAAATGGATATTAGGAGAACAGCTGAGACATCATAGAATACTACCATATATGTATGAAGAAAATTTGCGTATTTTTTTGACAAACTCCTCAGTGGTGGGGAGAACCTGGCTTGTGGCCAGAGATACAGCGCAGCAATACCGCAGCCACACTAGTGGGGCAACCGCATAGCGGGCTATCCTCTGCAAAGATGAATTAAGGACTTGCCCCTGAATCGGGTGACACACCCTCGAAGAAGGCACTCTCCAAAAGTTTTCTGAAAGAGAATGCATCAATGAACACAAAAATCGATAGAAAAAAAATGCAGTATCCTTGATACAAAAAAAAAAGAGGTGGCCTCCAAAAAGGAAGCGGGTGGGGATGCTCAACATGGTTTTTTTTTTTATTTGCCTCTATCCTTTTTAAATTCTAGACACAAACCCTAGGTCATTAAACAGCTGACTGGTACTTAATGTTAATTACTATTTTACTAGGTTTATCTGACATTGTCCCCTCAATTCACTTTGAATGTGAAGAAGTGGAATTTTGAATATATACATGCAGGCTAAATAATAAAATATAAATTCCCCTTCCGACCGATTTGGGAAAAACTTCCATACTGGATCACCAACTTACCTGCCACCAAACACATCCATTTTCACCCCTCCTTGTGATTTCACCCAAGAGGAATCCAGGAAGCCTCGGCAATGCGAAAAAAAATTTAGGAAAAATGTGTTTTTAGAGCACATTTTGGATGCACACGTCGTGCAGTTGAAGCAGCGGGTCAAAACTTTGAAGTGATTGAAGTGTCTGGAAGACAGCGGTGCGTTATACGCATGACATCGACAACCATGACAATGCATGAGCCGGCCAATGATAGTGCAATACGTCATAATGAATATTTATTTTCTCATGAATATTTAGTTTATTTCAATGGATACTTCAAATACGTCCAAAGATTGATTATTGCAACAGCGATCGTGCGTGGCCTAGCGGTTAAGAGTCTCGTGTATCAAGCAAGAGTCCGAGGTTCCAATCTCGATGAAGTAAGTGACTGATTAATAAATCAGAATAAAGGAAAGGAGAGGGTGAGAGTAGAGGAGGGAAAAGTGGAGGAAATAGCCATAAAAGATGCAACTTTTGGCATTTGAAAATTAATTGAAAAAAGTGGTGATCCAGTACGGAAATTTTGTTTCAATACTGAGTGCTGAAATCCTAAAAACCAATGTTGACTGGCCTAATAAAAAAAGAATTTTGGACCGAGATTGAGAAACAAATTTTCCATTGGTCAAAAATATCCACACCCCTCCCCCCCCCCCCCCCCCCCCCCCCACCTATACTATGTGCACGACCACAAAAGTAGCGTCGAGATCAGATGGGTCTAACTGTTACTTGTGTTACATTGTTTCCCACACAAAAAATTAACCTGAAAGAATCAGTTTCACTTTCAGCGCATCAATGATCAAACCAATGTTGTTTATTGTGGCGAATGAACTACGGTCGTCTACGCATTACGTTACCTTGTTCTTATCTTGTTGTAACTGGTCGATTTTTGCTCTCTCCCGCCTAATCAGCCCTTTCTCTTCTGGCGGTAGAAATTGGATTTAATTGGGCTGCAAAGCCGCATGCTGACTCGAAGGAAAACCGACAAAAACTAAGGTGGCATCTGCAGTCTGTCTGTCCAATTTCTGTCGCCATTTTTTTCGTTCAGCTCACCGAAATGTCAAAAGGCAAACTCTGTTGTGTTATTGGGTCAGTGAACAGCGCCCTCAATAACACCTCCTGTAAGAACTTCACTCGCTATTTATAATTAAATAAAATTAAAGGAGGTCTCCTTTTGAAAAACGCGTTTACCACGAAATAATTAAAAAAATTGAAAAGATTTGGGATGGGCCCTAACAAGGCTTCAGGTTTCCATTATAGTTAACTCCCACTGCACTCGGCACTCGTTTTCTTTTCCCTGCACAATATCTTTCGGGGGCCGGGGTACGGGGAGTTCGCTCGTCCCCCCCCCCCCGGCGCGGCCCCGCCCTGCAAACAGGTGTCGTGAGTGTCGGGGAGGGGGGGGGGTGTCCATGTTCAACGGTTGTTGACAATTGGAGGGGGAAAATCGTTACAAAGAATTCTCATTAGAAATAAACTCTCAACAAATGTTATACTCAACTAAATGCGATGAAATTCTACTATCATTATAGTCAGCGAAATCATGGACGAGGGGACACCTCCCCCCCCCCCCCCCCGCCCCAGTTTTGTTTTAGCCCGCCCCGTAATGAGCCAATTGCTCTGAAATAAATTTTTAACAAATACAGGCAAACACAAGGTGACAACACACCATTCACATTTTAGGACGTAATAAAATCGAACTGAAAGGGAAAGTGCATGCACCAATTGAAAACTACATTTACTGAGCTGGCGCTTTTTATTAAACAACACATTTCCATTCCCATCAGGTTGCCCTTTTAATTTTCATCACGTTTATTTAAGTGTGCCTGATAATGAGGTGCCAATTGTGGTTGACATTATTTTTGTTTGGCTAAGAAAAATCGGTGTGCGGGGTGGAGGTGGGCGGATGGAGGAGCCGGGCATTTTATGCCCGGCCTCAGTTATCCCTCTCCGGGATTTAAACCCCCCCCCCTTCCCGCATAACACACGGCCAACGTCAACTTATCTTCAATTTAAGAGTGTTTCATGACCCTAGCAGCCTGACCACTGTGGGTCTGCCACTGCCGGTGCCGAGAAGGCTTTCTTCGTTGCCTTGGATGGGGACGGGGAGAAAGCAAACAACCACTACGCCGATATTCCCGCGCTCAAGGCCAAAGCTGTGGCCAAGGAGAACTCGTACTATGAAGTAGGACATATCAGTGGCGTAAATCCATGCCGGAGAGTGTGGCAGATGGGGGATGACCATGCGGCAAAATCCTAAAATTGTCCGGTCGTGTGAATTCAAAATGGGATTTTTTTGGGGGGGGGGGGTTGACACGATATTACATAGGGGTGCTGTTCACGATACAAAATACATGTAATGGAAACATACGTTTATACGTCCCTTACACCGTAACCAGCCTTAATCTTCAAAAATCCCCCGGTTTTGGAGTATTTTGGAGGATTGTGGATGAATGGTGCTTGAGAAAAATTTAGGATTTTAGAGAATTGAGGATGAATGGTGCTGAAGCAAATGAGGATTTTGGAGGATTGAGGATGAATGGTGTTTGAAGAAGATGAATATTGGAATATTGAGGAGTATTTAGGATGCATGCATTTTGAGAGGCAGGACTGTCTGGAGTGTTGGGAAGGATAGAGGCGCTGGGTATCCTTCATTTAAACACAAGTGCAACATTTTGAAGTATTTTGGAAGAATGAGGATGGTTCCTAGCAAAAAAAAGGGCCTAAGGGGGTTGTTAACCTTCAAAGCTGGGCATTGAAAGCTTATTCTCCGTGGTTTCTTTTCAATACTGTTTTATTAATTTGGACAGTTGGGAAGATTTTTGGGTTTCTTACCTTCAAAACGGGAGGGGGGCAAGGGCGGATCCAGGGGGGGGGGGCCAAAGGGGGCCATGGCCCCCCCCCCCCCAAAAAAAACGAAACCAATTTTTTTTGTTTTTTTATGTGACATCGCAATAAAGGCAGGCAATGAGTACACCACCATCTTTTCCTCAAAAAAACATTGGTTAAAGTGGTCAGAAATTGCCTCAGATCGCACCACAGAGCATCTAGAATCCAAAAAAAATTCGGGGCCCTTAAGCGGGCCCCGAACCCCATGCCGTAATTTTTTTGACCCACTTTTTGGGGGGACCAAATTTTTTTTTGGCCCCCCAAAAAAATTGTGTTCTGGATCCGCCCTTGGAGGGGGGCGGAACCAATTCCCCATCCCCGGTCAGAAAGTGTTGGGGATGTATCCGCCCATCCCCGCGGGATTTACGCCCATGAGGATATTACATTTCAGTGCCAAATTAAAGGGAATGTACAACATTTGCTTTTGCTGCAGGTTTCAGAAATAAATGGATTTGGAGGATTAGTATGTTATAGTAAATATTGTTAAAATGACTTGTTTCACGATTTGGGCTTGTAGATGCTGGAAAAACCAAGAAAACCAATCATGTTCTTGTAGTCGGGTTCCCTGACCCCACTTAAGATGAAACAGAGCAATGTATAACCTTTGCGGAATTGTAAGGTCAGAGAATCAGACTAGCAGGCTTGTACCCCTTCACAGGTGTGTAATCAATTGCAAAGAAAACGCGGAATAACTAATTATGAAAAATTAAAAGCACTTTTTGAAAAAAAAAAAGTTTTCTCCAACGCTGGTCGGCCGACCAGTGTTGAAAAAATCCCATTTTTTCTTGAAAATGACAGCACACTAGGAGCCACGATTTTACAGAATGTTTTAGACTGTCATTCCCTAACAATCCAGTACGGTATTTCGTGATAATTCGATCATTTCGTTTTGTGATGTTTGCAAATGTTGTATCTTCCCTTTAAGTAAAACATTAGTAACAAATTAACGTCTCACATAGCCTTGGTCAAGGCGCTAGTTGTTATTCATCCGGCCGTAACGCGGTAAACGATATCTTCGCTAGTGCTATGCATGCAGTCATAATTATGTCTATGCATGCAGTGCATTAATAATACAGCGCGAACAGCGACCTCACGCGGCCACTATTTTTATGCAAATCAGTTGGACCCAATCTAGCGCCTTGGTTCAATCGTCCATGTGAGGTTTTGGGGGTGGTGCTCATTATGTTAATACCCTTAGCTGACCTTAAATGTCGTTTTCTTATTGGTCGATCGTTGCGAGGAAACTTGCATAGTGAAACGTGGCACCGTACATAGTCCATACACGTACACGTTGTGTGTCTCTGCACACGGCACCAATGCACAAAAAGTGTGGTTCCTGTCACGTCCGCAAAAGGCGAATAGCAAATAATTTGATGACGTCCGGATTTACCAAGGTGTGATTGGACACTCCACATATTAGCCCCGCCTACACTTATCTGTATTCGCATACGAGGTCGTGCGCTAGAAATCCAGTGCAAAATAAAGAAAAACATAAGCTTTTGCCGACGATTGAACCAAGGCGCTAGATTGGGTCCAACTGATTTGCATAGAAATGGTGGCCGCGTGAGGTATTTTTAATGCACCGTTATATTGTTATATTGTGCCATAAGCCAGGCGCGGTTCTAGAACCAATATTTGGGGGGGGGGGGGCTAGCACGGTGGATCCAGAATTTTTTCAGGGAGGCGTGCTGAAATGTAGACCGGTTATTTTTTCCAGACACTTAGGCCTCCGAAAATCAATAGGTGGGGTGGGGGGGGGGGAAGGCTCATGCCATATTTTCAATGGGGAGCGCCAATAAAATCCTAAAATCATTCACACTATATTAACTAATGCACCCTTGTCACGGCTATTTCTTCTTTAGGGGGAGACCGTTCGCATCTACATCACAATCCTTCTTTTGGCTAATGCATTGTTGTTGTTTTTTACGGAATTTATTTTGGGGGGGGCTAGACAAAATTTTTTTTTGGGGGGGGGGCTACAGCCCCCCCCCCTAGCCCCCCCCCCCCCCTGTAGAACCGCGCCTGCCATAAGCCAAATAGCTATTGAAAGGTGTTAGTTACTGTATAAGAAATTAATCGTCGTTATTTTTATTTTTTTGATTACTGCACTATACCTTTTTGACACGAATATTGTGCCAGACGGTATTTGAGTGGTGTTGAATTATGTGTATTTAAATACAATGTATTGTAGAAACTTGACACGTGACCGTTCTAGATTTATACAATTGCAGTATCCAAGTCACGATTTAACAAAGCAAAAGCGGACCTGGGGATCAGCTATTAAAGGGGCACATTCCAATCTACGGCGAGGTATACCCCCTTTCTGCATTGCCCTCACTACGTCCGTATTGCACAAACTTAATTGCAGCTGCTGTAAATAGTAATGCACTAATACAGTTTATCCTTTAAAATTTAGCAATGTAAGTGATCAATATACACACACCAACACCAAAACAGTCATGAGCAACAGAGAAAACAGCTTTATTAGAGCAGTGATGATATCCTAATCGCAGAGTACAATGTATATATAATCATGGTTTGCACACAAACAATACCAATAGGCTACAAATAGGTAAACATAGAACAGGTAAACTAATAGTGGTTTTCCCGGCTATTTTAAAACTTGTATCATTCGTATTCACCGTTTTTAATATTCCAGTTCGTCATTCAACATCGACTTAGTAAATACTTCCAATGTTTAATTTCGTCTTTTGTCATACCATTTCCATTGTTGTTCAATCGAATTCAATCCGCCAACGCCCATTTTCGGCGAGGAGTATTTGATTTCGTCTCGTCTACGCCGAACAGTTTTATTCAGAAATCAAATTCGTCTTTTGCCACACAATTTAAAGTTTGTTCAATTTCGCAACATTTTTTTTCTTTTACTTTCCCTGTTACTCACAAATGTTGCTTGTTTTTTAATCGATTTTCCTTGAAAAAGAAATGTCATTGACTCGTAGGTACAATATAACAAAGTAAAATAAGGGTCATCGACTGTTTTTTCACATGGTCATCTTTATTTTTTCACTCTTTTAATGCCCAAAGTTGCAGCCACTTGGACGTAGTCCATGGCATCATATTCAAAGGATTAATTCGTATCCTGTCCTGGTTAGAAACTTTGTTGTATGGACCTCGGGCACAAGGAACATGGTAAATAACCCACGCCAGACTAATTTACTTAG